AGCCCGCGGGCCGCGGCCTGCCGCCCCCTCTTACCGGGCCGTGGCCGCCGCCGCCGCCCCCGCCCGGCCCCTCCGTCGCACCGCGCCCGCCCGGCCCGCGCCGCTCCTCCAGCCGACACGACCGCGACGACGACGGCAGCGGCAGCGCCGGCTGGAACGCGGCGCGCGCAGGCGCGTCCGGCGCCTCCTCGGGTCCGCCCGGAAACTCCTGCCCGCGCGCCATGGTTCCGCCGCAAGCCCCTCCGCGCGGGAGGAGCGCGCCGGCCCGCGGCGGGCCCTTATATAGCGCCCTTCCTCGGCGCGGTCCCGCCCGGGGCTGGTTGCGCGGGAACCGGCGCTCTGCGGAGCGAGGCATCGGCCAGCCGCTGGTTCCCGGATTGACCGTGCAACCGTAGCCATGCCAGTTTTAGCGGCGGTGTGTCCTATTTTCGTACTGAGCATTTCAAAAGCGGTTTATACATAACAAAGGCACGCTAAAACAAGCATCGGAGAAGACGCTGTAAATCCACCAAGAAAGTATTTTTAGCAAGCCGCTGTACTGTCACACCGATCCGCAATTAAGGCTCAGATGGTCAGTTCCTTGCGAGGGCAATTAGGTTTATTTACAATTGAACACATGGATCTATGGGCACACCCAATGCTAATTCCATTAGGGTTATACAGAATACACAAAAGGGGAATGAATAAAATACACAGGAAGGTGATTGGATACACTTCACAGCACCATAAAGAAAAGTTACATTTCACTCTAATTAGATACCTTTGACAGGCCTTCTAAATTAAAGTTACCTTGAACAGGCTGGCCAAGTTAAGTAAACAAAAAGGTTACATGTGTGAACTTACAGGGTTAGGAGGCACTTTAGCAAGCCTGTAAAACAGAGAGATTACACTTTGACAGTCACCTGCTAATGGAGTGGGGTCATCTTCACCACCAGACACCGAGGCATCTTTTGATGTGTTTATGCCAAGGCAGTGAGGTGGGATGGCAACATTTGTTTTTCTGAGTACAGTACATACCTGGTCAGAAGTACATCAACCAGGTTTTGTTATTCCCAAGAATAAGCCTATGTCCCCTTTGGAAGGGGGATGCATGGAAGTCACTGGGAGTTACTTCTGAGTAAGTGTGCACAGGACCAAGTTGCGATCTCATGAAGAGGAGGCACAGGCAAGCCCTTCATTTCAATGGATTTAAGAATACCTGATTGAGAGGGATTCGTGGCCCTCTGGGTGGGTTGACTTATCATGCCCATCAGCCCTAGCCAAGATAGGCAAGGCCTGGGACGTGTTCAAAGCCAAAACGTGCAAAGTGTTGCACATTGCATACCCCTGCAAACCTTGGAGAGTAAAAGTTGGGTTGCAGGAACAACAAAACCCCATCACTCTGTGTGTGCGTGCGTGAGAGAGAGACCTACCACAGAGTATACCTTTTCACGTCCATTTTCAGGATAGAATGAGCAAGAGTTTTGCCATAAAATGGCTGCTAGAAACCTGACACTGTAAGAGCAGCTTTTAAACTTAAGATGGAATTCCTGATCTTCAGGAATCCATATTGCCAGTCCTGCTCCCCACTTACCCCTTGGACACGCTGCCTGTGTGCCTCTCCTCTGGAGGTGCCCTCTTAGATAGGCTAGTGCCTGTCCTGAAGGGCCTTCTCTTTGTGTTGTTCCTGATCTGAACAGGAATGTATGTTGCAGGTCTTGTTTCCCAGATTCACCTTAGACATGCTCATGCCCCTGTCCTGAAAGGCCGGTCCGTTGGGGCCAACCTTAGACATGCTAAGGTCTGCCTTTCCTGAAGGTTCTTTTTGTGTTGTCTTAAATCCCCATGGTTCTATCCTTAATGTACCGTTAGCAAACGGCCCACTTCATTCCTACATGATCCCCAACCCCTCCTCCAAACTGGATGTAATTGGTGGGATATAAAAGCTCCTTGTACAGCTTCTGTCTCCATAGTCCCTTCAGGGACTACCTATGTATGCATGTATTTTCCTGTATGTCTGAACAAGCTGTACATGTTCTTTTGATTGTACACCCCCAGGAAACTGTAAGGGTGTTTTCTTTTCACTGCCGATGCCATACAGCAGGCCAGCCTTTTCACACAGCTGTCCACCAACTCCCCTATCTTCCTTTCCGGGGTGGTCACCCTCATCTCAAACCCCATCAGCATATATGTGACGTTCCGATGGCTTTTGCCCCATGCTTCAGGCCTGCTTACGTGGAACTGCATTTGCAATTCCTTGTCTATGCAGCCATTTGAGAGCTCTTTACAGTCCCTGGGTTTGCTTCTGCCAGCCTTGGATGATTTGGTGCTACCAACCAACCTGCCGGCTTAGTTCTACCTCTAGACCAGTCACAGAAGAGTTTAGAGGCATTGGTTCCAGTACTGATTCCTCTGGGATCCCATTTCTTACATTATCCAACAAGGGGCGTTCTGCCCTCTTGACCGAGTTCACTGGACATGACATGCAACAGTTGCGTTATTGTTGTGCATGTCACATCCAAACCCACTTACGGTGTCACCAGTTGTCAACCATTATAAGCTGCTGTGGTTTTCTCCAGGGCTTGTCCCTACCATGATGGCTGGTTGTGCCATCCAGGCCTAGATGACATAACCTACCGTGGATCAAGCCCAGGACAAATTAGTTGCCGGGCAAGCGTGGCTGTTGCCTGGTGCTGGCAGAGGCAGCCCACCTCCTGCCCCAGAGATCTGCCACTAGGCAGGAAGCAGGAGCTGGCAGCCTGCTCAGAGGAGCAACCCAATAGGGGGCAGCTCTGTTGGGCAGATCGGCCCCTGCTGGACGTCTCTCAGAAGAAGGCAGAAGCCAGCAATCTCCTTGGAGAGGCTGCCTGAAGAACGGGGCTGCGGTCGGGAGGGGACCAAACCGGAGTCCTCTGGAACAGGAGGCAGGCATGCCCAATCAGTTCCCTGTCCTCATTGTGCAATGGGACTCTGTGACAGCGACACTGAGCTGCAATGAGCTTGCAACTGCAGCTGTCAAAGAGAGGGGCCTCTTTCCTCCCTGCCATGTCCCCGGGGAAAATGCCAAGAGGAATGAAAAGGGTGCGGGGACAGCAAAGTACCCACAGAGAGCCCAGCTGCCTGTCAGGATCACTGTGGGTGCCTGGCACCTAATAGCGATCCGTTTGTGCTCGGTTGCCCGTACGTGTGAACTCACCCTTTGCCTCTGGCTTACCAGAATTTTAAATGGCTTTGTTCCACAGATTTTTTTAAATTTCATAATCATCTTCTGTACCGGTGAGAGCCCACTAAGGGCTTCTCAGGTAACAAGATCTGGTCCATGTAGCTCAAAAACGAGGTTGCTCATCCACCAGCTTTGGCAGGTTCAGAGGGGAAGCGTTGATCCATCTTTCAGAGATGGAATGCAAAAAGGCTCTGCTGCATAGCTGTCTTCACTCTTAAAAGCTATCTGCTTTTTGTGATGTGTTAATGAGGCAAATAGGTTAAAAATAGTGGGGGCTCAACAGATCAGTTTTGCATGTGAGAAATTAGAATCCTGACCAGTGTGCCAAGATTCAACACACTCAATTTAAATTCTGTCTGGTTATATGCCGGTGTGGGTTTAAAACATTACAAATTGTATTCGATTTTTGTTTGTTTAAAATCTAAAAAATGAACTGTTCAGCCATGGTCAGCAGAAGAAGCACATCTGAAGAAGGGAAGAGTACAACATGACAATATAAAAGCAATTCATATATGATGCAAAACAATGAAAAATTTATAGATGACTCAGTAAAAGTCACTATAGGTATCCTGACGGTGCAAGAGGAGGACTTGAACCTGTAAAGAGGTGTAAACATTTAAAACAAAGTTTATAGAAAGACACCATTTGTTTCCATTTAGTTCATCCTTTGAGAGACAAGTCTGAAACATTATTTTTGTCATTATCACTCTGCTCCCTAACCTAAAGCAGGGATGGGCAGAACAGAGACCTTCGGATGTTTGGAAGTCTACTCCCAGCATGCCCAGCCACTGGTCACTCTGGCAGAGGCTTCTGGGAGTTGACATCAAATCCACCTGGAGCTCTGCCTTCTACCAGGACATAATTGTAAGAGCGTTGGAAAGTTTCTTGCACCTCCAAAAAGCAAACCATGCTTGACAGGGAAAGCACCACATCTTTGTGAAGAAGTTTAAGATCCTCTTCAAAAAGTTTTACCCTCAGTTCTGGATTGATGGATTGACCAACTGATGGAACTTTTAAACTTTCCACCACAGAAAAGCAAACCAACAGAAAAACTAGCATCAACATTACATGGGACCACAACCCTGGAACATGTTGCTGGTGTAATCATAGGCAGAGCTGTCACGTCGTATGCGACAACACTGCAAAATTGCCAGAAGAGTTTTTGAGTGAAACTGTTCTTAAAAGGGTTTTTCTGAATTGCCCCAGACATCAGTGGCTGTTCTATGTCTGTTCCCTTAACTCTGTGGATGCCCTCTGTTCCCTCAAGATAATTTAATTGAGATACCATAAATGTGCTTATGAAGTTTTGTGTCCCACGTAAAAAGAAGAAAAGCCCTAAACCCACACCAACCAAAATGGCACAAGGATGCAAGCTCTTGAGTTCTGCACAACTCTTCATCAAACCAGCCAGCACTCAAAGCTGAGGGGAAAGAGGCAGGAAAGGAAGCTGCACTAGGCAGCTGCAATGGTTTATCCTATCTTGGTTATTTTCCAGATGGATTTTGCCCACATTTCTGCACAGCACCATAAGCAGAGCCCTCTGGAAGTTTAACTACAACGAAGATCCTAACTGTAAGATTCAGAAATCCTATAAAACAGTATAAAGTCCTGAAAAACGAAAGAGTGTGATCCTATGCTTGCTGGATAGAAAAATCCCACCACTCGTACCTCTGGCTGGGCCTGATGGTGCCCTAAAGGCCCTGGGAGAATAAAAAGAAAACCCGTGCTTTGTGATTACAGCTGAACACGATAACGTGTGCAACCGAACCCCACGTGTGCAGAACCAAGGCGCGCGCACGCTCGCTCGCTCGCTCCCGGTGCCTCCCTTTTGGCCGCCGGAGGGCGCTCTTCGCTCCCCTATGCTTGACGG